TAACACTGACTTGGTATGTGTAACCGGTAACGCCGACTTGGCATGCGTAACCGGTAACGCCGACTTGGCATGCGTAACCGGTAACGCAGACTTGGCATGCGTAACCGGTAACGCAGACTTGGCATGCGTAACTAGTTTCAGCCAGTCCGTGTGTGTGTGTGTGTGTGTGCGTGCGCGTGTGATGCTGTGGCAGGCAGAGAGAGGAAGAGGTGGTGTTTTTCTGTTGGTGTTTTTCCTCTGCGGGCAAAAGCTGCTGTGTGAAAAGCAGACGGGTGATAAGAAGCTCATTTGACTGAGTTGGCACACCAGGAGGAAATGTCATCCGCCACTAGAGGAGCAGGGTTGTTTTGCTCTGTGTCACAGCTGGCCAGCACAGTGCCCTCCCTCCCCAGCATATTTTTCATGATTTGTTATGCAAACGAGGTCCAGCGACTCTGCTCCCTCTCTTTGTGACTCTTAGTTGGCAGTGGGGAATGGTAGCTAGCTAGAGTCATTTAAAAATAGCCTACACCCAGTGTTTATTCAGCGCTCATTCTGTCTCGCATCAAACTAATCTGCTGCCTGCAGTGTATTTTCTGGATCTGAAATGCTGCAACCGGACAATGTCTGCAACTTTGCTCGGCTTCGACTATGTCTTTTTTACAAACATGGAAGACCCCCAGTTTGCACTGAGCGTCACCAACGCAGTCATGAGTTAATAACTATCACACTAGAGTTGATAGAAGTAGGCTATGTGTTCTGATTTAAATGAACAGCCGGTCTTGACAGTCACTCTCAGAAGCAGTGTTTGACGATCTGCACATAATCTCAGCTTGCAGGCTAAGTGACAGTATTATATATTTGAGGCGGATAAGATCGTAGGTGGTGAAGTAGGAAAATATATATGTAACATCTTACTAATTTAACCCTTCTATTCCCCCTGTGTTCTCATCTCTCTCCAGACACCAGGCATCAGAAGAGAACTAGACTTCCATGAGTTCACAGAGTTTTCCACAATAAAGAAGACTCTTTTTGTTAATTAACTCATAGATTTTTCTACTGTCGGTTGACATCATCCAAAGACGACTGGGACACAAGGTGGAGGAAGAATTGACAATAAGGAACAGCGATCGGTGCTCGGCGATGCCTCAGGTAATGGAAGGGAGGGTTCTTTAGAAGTGGTCCAGCTTTAGCCACTTGTCTCTCCATAATCTTGCAATTGACCAACTTCTGAAGTGAAAACAACTAGGTTGCTGGACTGTTAATGTACAGTCTGTAGGCTAAAACTGACAAACCTCAGTCTAGTTGTTCTGCAATTACTCTGTGGATGATATAGCCACAGATGGAGCAATGAGCCGGTTAGTTATACAATTATTTGATATAGCTGTCAGTGGACAGACAGCCTATGGCAATTTCCCATGTCCATGGGAACATTCCCCCTTTTATCCTGGTTGACCCAACCCCACAAATGTTGTTTGTTCACTGTTACTCTCCATGCTTAACTAAATGTTAAAGGGGCAATCTGCGGTTGGTTCATCCATTTTTTTTTTACTTTTAAGTGAATTATATATATACCCATTGATTCTTAAAGAATATAACTTATAAATGCCTCATGACCTTAGTTTAACTGTCGTACCCCATCAGAACCCAAAATATAAGCTTGTTTTACGATTGTAAACAAACACTGTGTAGCCTCAAAACAGATTGCCTCTTTACTACAACTATACTGAACAAAAATATAAACGCAACAATTTCAAAATGTTTACTGCGTTACAGTTCAAGGAAATCAGTCAATTTAAATAAATTCATTAGGCCCAAATCTATGGATTAGGGTGGGCCTGGGAGGGCATAGGCCCACCCACTGAGGAGCCAGGACCAGCCAATCAGAATGAGTTTTTCCCCACAAAAGGGCTTTATTACAGACAGAAATACTCCTCAGCACCCCTGCCCTCCCCCCTCAGATTATCCTGCAGGTGAAGAAGCTGGATGTTGAGGTCCTGGGCTGGTGTGGTTACACGTGGTCTGCAGTCGTGAGGCCAGTTGGACGTACTGCCAAATTCTCTAAAATGATGTTGGAGGCGACTTATGGTAGGGAAATGAACATTCAATTCCCTGGCAACAGCTCAGGTGGACATTCCTGCAGTCAGCATGCCAATTGCATGCTCCCTCAATTTGAGACATCTGTGGCATTGTGTTGTGTGACAAAACTGCACATTTTAGAGTGGCTTGTGTCTGTAAGGATCATGCTGTTTAATCAGCTTCTTGATATGCCAAAGGAGAAATGCTCACTAACAGGGATGTAAACAAATTTGTACAGAGAATTTGAGAGAAATAAGCTTTTTGTGCATATGGAACATTTTGGGGATATTTTATGTCAGCTCATGAAACGATGGACAAACACTTTACATGTTGCGTTTTTATTTTTGTTCAGTATAATTATCTCTGTTCACTCTGAAATGGAAAAGCAGTATTTAAACATGTTGGTCAGAGTATTGTAACAGGACAACAGGAATTGCAACAGGTTGAATAGTTTGGAATGTTTATTTCCCCTTAGCCCGGCATCAGTGGAATGGATCTTCCCTTTGGGGATTTCTTTCAAAATTATACTTTTGCTGATCAGTCGCTGACCAGCACGGACCTGTTGGCGAGTAGCACAGACCCAGACTTCATGTACGAACTGGTAAGTGTTCTCCGTGCAGAGGAGCCTCTGGCAGGATCACAGCTTACAGATGATAGAAATAAATGATATAAAGAATGATAGTAAAAAGCTCTGGAGCACCTTAAATGACATTTTGGGCGAAAAGGCAAACTCTGCTCCATCATTCATTGAATCAGATGGCTCATTCATCACAAAACCAACTGATATTGCCAACAACTTTAATGATTTTTTCATTGGCAAGATTAGCAAATTTAGGCATTACATGCCAGCAACAAACGCCAAACTTACACATCCATATATAACTGACCAAATGATTAGAGACGAGTGTTGTCATTTTGAATTCCGTAAAGTGAGTGTGGAAGAGGTGAACAAATGATTGTTGTCTATCAACAATGACAAGCCACCGGGGTCTGGCAACTGGGATGGAAAAGGATAATAGCGGACAATATTGCCACTGCTATTTGCCATATCTTCAATCTAAGCCTACTAGAAAGTGTGTGCCCTCAGGTCTGGAGGGAAGCAAAAGTCATTCTGCTACCCAAGAATAGTAAAGCCCCCTTTTATTGGCTCAAATAATCGACCAATCAGCCTGTTACCAACCCTTAGTAAACTTTCGGAAATAATTGTGTTTGACCAGATACAATTCTATTTTACAGTAAACAAATTGACAACAGACTTTCAGCATGCTTATAGGGAAGGACACTCAACAAGCACAGCACTTACACAAATTACTGATTGGCTGAGAGAAATTTATGATAAAAAGATTGTGGGGGCGGTTTTGTTAGACTTCAGTGTGGCTTTTGACATTATCGATCATAGTCTGCTGCTGGAAAAACGTGTATGTTATGGCTTTACAACCCCTGCTATATTGTGGATAAAGAGTTACCTGTCTTACAGAACACCTGTCTAACAGAGGGTGTTCTTTAATGGAAGCCTCCAACATAATCCAGGTAGAATCAGGAATTCCCCATTGCAGCTGTCTAGGCCCCTTACTTTTTTTCAATCTTTACTAATGACATGCCACTGGCCTTGAGTAAAGCCAGTGTGTCTATGTATGCAGATGACTCAACACCTATACACGTCAGCTACTACAGTGACTAAAATGACTGCAACACCTAACAGCGATGCAGTTAGTTTCAGAACGGGTGGCAAGGAATAAATGAGTCCTAAATATTTAAATAAAAACTAAAAGCATTGTATTTGGGACAAATCATTCACTAAACCCTAAACCTCAACTAAATATTGTAATAAGTAATGTGGAAATTGAGCAAGTTGAGGTGACTAAACTGCTTGTAGTAACCCTGGATTGTAAACTGTCATGGTCAAAACATGTTGATACAACAGTAGCTAAAATGGGGGAGAAGTCTGTCCATAATAAAGCGCTGCTCTGCAACACTATCAACAAGGCAGGGCCTACAGGCCCTAGTTTTGTCTCACCTGGACTACTGTTCAGTCGTGTGGTCAGGTGCGACAAAGAGGGACTCAGAACAGGGCATTACGGCTGGCCCTTAATGTACACAAAGAGCTAACATTAATAACATGCATGTCAATCTCTCATTGCTCGACGTGGAGGAGAGATTGACTTCATCACTACTTGTTTTTGTGAGAAGTATTGACATGTTGAATGCACTGAGCTGTCTGTTTTTTTAAACTACTGGCACACAGCTCGGACACTCATGCATACCACACAAGACATGCCACCAGAGGTCTCTTCACAATCCCCAAGTCAAGAACAGACTATGGGAGGCGCACAGTGCTACATCGAAATGAAATCACATGTATTATTTAGCGGGTGGAGTGAAATAATTGTAAAATACTTGACTACAAAGAACTCTATTCCACATCAGGTAACTGATGCAAGCAGTAGAATCAGATAAAAAATAAAATAAAAATACACCTTATGGAACAGTGGGGACTGTGAAGAGACACACACACAGGTACAGACACATGCATACGCACACATTGTAATATTGTTGAATGGTGGTATTATACATTTTGTATTGTAGATATGTAGTGGTGTAATAATGTTATATGATGTACTGTTTTATCTTTTGTTTTATGTGTGATGTAAGTGCCTTAATGTTGTTTGGACCCCAGGAAGAGTAGCTGCTGCCTTGGCAACAGCTAATGTTGATCCCTGATAAATACACATACAGAGAGGCAGGACAGGTGGTGTAGTAAAGAACACAACACGTTATGACAATACAATAAAAAATGTAACCTCTTTATTTACACAAAAGATTGTTTTGAAGATGGTTGCATACTTATCCTTATCACACATCTATCAAAGGATAGGGCAATAATGTCAATTCTATGCACTATTTTCATCTCTGTACTTTCCTTTCCTCCCCAGGACAGAGATATGACTGGTCGCCAAAGTCCTAGAGGTGATCACTTCACGGTGGGGGACTGCAAGGAGATGATGGAGTGTGGGGAGCACCTCATGGAGCTGGTGGACAGCGATCCGGCCTACAGCTCTAACTTTGAGCAGTGGGATACGTACTGGGAGGACCTGACCAAGTACACCCGTTTCACCAGCTGTGACATCTGGGGCACCAAGGAGGCAGGCCTGGATGACTTCTCCAGCCCCTACCAGGACGAGGAGGTGATTGGCCGGACCCCAACCCTGGCCCAGCTCAACAGCGAGGACTCACAGCCCCCTGTGTGCGACACGCTCTACCACCCTGATCTGCTGATAGGGGGCCAGAAGCAGCACACCTCCCTCCACCCACTCTCCCTGAGCAAGAAAACAGCCGCCCGCCCGGGCCCCTCCTCTTCCTGCTCCAACCTGGTCAGGAACCCCCTGGGCGACTTTGCCAAGGGTTCCCAGAAGGCCACCTGGCCTGTCCCGTCCAGCACAGAGACAATGTCCAAGGCCCAGGGGACCAGCAAGATGGCCACCCTGGGCTACCACTGCAATGACTACGTGCGCAAGGCAAAGGTTCGCGTCAGCATGCCCCACCGGCCCCTAGTCGACATGCCCTCCCATCAGGTTGAGGCTGAAAACCACTTCACGTACAGCAGCAAGCCCCCTGAGCTGGCCACCACGTCTGGCTGTGCTGCCCCCGTGGCTGCTCCTGCTACTGCAGCCTCTGCCTCCGCCTCCGCCAGCACCCTGGCCTATGAGAAGACAGTAGAGCTGCCTCGCCGGGAGATGCCACCTGCCTCAGTGGGCACGTCTGGAGCTGTGCCCCCCATACTCCACTACCCTGTAGCTGGGGCTGGTGCCAGCGAGACCCTGCTGACTGCCAGTGGGAGTGACCCAGTCTCTGACAAGAAGAAGGAAGAGGAGCACAACTACTCCTTGTTCCTAACCCGAGCCAGGCTGGCCGGGAAAGCCCTCACTGAGATGGAGGAAGAGGAGGAGGAAGAGGAGGAGGAGGAAGAGGAGGAGGTGGGGGAGGACGAAGAAGATGCTGAGGGGGTGGAGCTGGATGAAGATCTGGATGAAGATCATGATGAGGGTTTTGGCAGCGAGCATGAGCTCTCTGAGAACGATGATGAGGAAGATGAGGAGGAGGACGATGATTATGAGGAGGATAAAGATGAGGACATGAGCGACGCCTTCTCCGAGCCAGGTAGCCATATATCAGGTAGACATTCACCTTTTTTTGACACCCACATTGGCCCTGAAGCCAAAGTCCAAGCATGTACCTTGGAATTATAGCAACCATTTTGTTTTTCATGTGAAGTAAGGTTAGAGTCGCTGAAGGTGCTGTCTTCAGTCCGGCAGTTTATTACAAATGTCAGCTCCCTGTATAGAAAATTCACAGAGTTCTAGTTAGGAATCTCTTTGTAGCTGAAGAGTCACTCTGAAAGGAAATGTGTGATTGGTGAACTTGGCCTGGCCCATTGTGGACCAGTGAGTCAGCATTCTGGATTATAAAGGGATCTTGAGAATGGGGTCATGTTTGTGCTTTGGGTGGGTGAGATTGGACAGTATAATCATCAGGGTCAAGGGTTTATTTAAGCTGTTTTATAAGTGGAAGGCTCTCTGATCGACTGACCCTCTGCCCTTTTCTCATCATCACTCTCTCCCTATCTTCATCTCTCTCCTTTTTCATCTCTCTCTCTTTCTTAATCTCTCTTCTTCTCATCTTCATCTATTTACACTCACCCTTATCTCCCTTGCTAATATTCTCTCTCTCTTTCTCCTTCCTCCCTGTCCCTGGCCTGCCTGTTGTGATCAGGATGTGACAATGACACGGTGGAGGACGTGAAGGGGCTGACTGCAGGGATCTCCAGGAAGAGGGGCAAGCGCCGCTACTTCTGGGAGTACAGCGAGCAGCTCACCCCCTCCAAGCAGGAACGCTTGCTCAAGCCCTCTGAGTGGGACAGAGAGACCCTGCCCAGCAACATGTACCAGAGGAACGGCCCACACCATGGTGAGACAAGCTTTATCTCTCATAAAACACACACACTCATCTGGTCAGTGGTCACCACAAACTATCTATTGAACCACAATCATGTGAGCAAGTATGAATTCCCGCTTTTACAGATGCACTTGATGGAAGCCACACTCTTCATAGTTCATCAATTACAGTAGATGACATCTTACAGTATATTCCACCCTGTATGTAGGTTATAAATGTAACATTGCTGTTCCATTATTCATAGTGTACATTTATGGGTTTTGAATAGACACATTTCTATCTCAAATGGATTTGAATGTCCCTGCTGACAAAGGGACATGTCTCAGTGGTTAACTGGCTCGGTGATCGGCTGTGTGAACAGGGAAGTACACTCTGAAGAAGTCTCGGCGGACGGACGTGGAGGACTTGACCCCTAACCCTCGGAAGCTGCTGCAGATCGGGAACGAGCTACGTAAGCTCAACAAAGTGATCAGTGATCTGACCCCGGTCAGCGAGCTGCCCCTCACAGCCCGCCCACGCTCCCGCAAGGAGAAGAACAAACTGGCCTCTAGGTACTGGATACTCACCTTGAAACCTTTAAAATATTTTCAATTCTCGCTCTCCAGAACCTTCTCTTTCTGCTTTGTTACAGTTAACTTTGATACACGCCACTACTACTATCACTACTACTACTACTATCACTACTATCACTACTACTACTATCACTACTATCACTACTATTACTACTATCACTAATGTTACTACTAATGCTACTACTACTATCACTACTACTACTACTATCACTACTTCTACTATCACTACTACTATTAATAATACTATCACTAATGCTACTACGAATGAAAAATGTATGCACTCACTAAAAAACTGTAAGTCGCTCTGGATAAGCGTGTCTGCTAAATGACTAAAATGTAAATGTACTAATGCTACTACTACTATCACTAATGCTACTACTATCACTACTACTATCACTACTGCTACTACTATCACTACTGCTACTACTATCACTACTGCTACTACTATCACTACTGCTACTACTATCACTACTGCTACTACTATCACTACTACTACTACTGTTACTACATAAGGGGTGTTCTTGTTATATGTATACAGTGCATTCGGAAAGTATTCAGACCCCTTGACATTTTCCACATTTTGTTACATTACAGCCTTATTCTAAAATTGATTCAATTGTTTTTTTCCTCATCAATCTACACACAATACCCCATAATGACAAAGCAAAAACAGGTGTTTTAGACATTTTTACATAAGTATTCAGACCATTTACTCAGTACTTTGTTGAAGCACTTTTGGCAGCGATTACAGCCTCGAGTCTTCTTGGGTATGATGCTACAAGCTTGGCACACCTGTATTTGGGGAGTTTATCCCATTCTTCATTGCAGAACCTCCCAAGTTCTGTCAGGTTGGATGGGGAGCGTCATTGCACAGATATTTTCAGGTCTCTCCAGAGATGTTAGATCGGGTTCAAGTCCGTCCTCTGGCTGGGCCATTCAAGGACATTGAGACTTGTCCCAAAGCCACTCTTGTGTTGTCTTAGCTGTGTGCTTAGGGTCATTGTCCTGTTGGAAGTTGAACCTTTGCCCCAGTCTGAGGTCCTAAGTGTTCTTGAGCAGGTTTTCATCAAGGATCTCTCTGTACTTTGCTCCGGTCATCTTTCCTTCCACTGAAAAACATCCCCACAGCATGATGCTGCCTCCACCATGCTTCACCATAGGGATGGTGACAGGTTTCCTCCAGACGTGACGCTTGGCATTCAGGCCAAAGAGTTCAATCTTGGTTCCATCAGATCAGAGAATCTTGTTTCTTATGGTCTGATAGTCCTTTAGGTGCCTTTTGGCAAAGTCCGAGCAAACTCCAAGGTGCCTTTTTCTGAGGAGTGGCTTCCATCTGGCCACTCTACCATAAAGGCCTGATTGGTGGAGTGCTGCAGAGATGGTTGTCCTTCTGGAAGGTTCTCCCATCTCCACAGAGGAACTCTGGAGCTCTGTCAGAGTGACAATCGGGTCTTGGTCACCTCCCTGACCAAGGCCCTTCTCCCCCGATTGCTCAGTTTGGCCAGGCGGCCAGCTCTAGGAAGAGTCTTGGTGGTTCCAAACTTCTTCCGTTTAAGAATGATGGAGGCCACTGTGTTCTTGGGGACCTTCAATGCTGCAGAAATATTTTGGTACCCTTCCCCAGATCAGTGCCTCGACACAATCCTGTCTCGGAGCTCTACGGACAATTCCTTCGACCTCATGGCTTGGTTTTTGCTCTGAAATGCACTGTCAATTGTGGGACCTTAAATAGACAGGTGTGTGCCTTTCCAAATCATGTCCAATCAATTGAATTTACCACAGGTGTGGACTCTAATCCAGTTGTAGAAACATCTCAAGTATGATCAATGGAAACCGGATGCACCTGAGCTCAATTTCAAGTTTCATAGCAAAGGGTCTGAATACTTACAGTACCAGTCAAAAGGTTGGACACACCTACTCATTCCAGGGTCTTTCTTTATTTTTTACCCTCTTCTACATTGTAGAATAATAGTGAAGATATCAAAACTATGAAATAACACATTCTATTTATTTTATTTCACCTTTATTTAACCAGGTAAGCCAGTTGAGAACAAGTTCTCATTTACAATTGCGACCTGGCCAAGATAAAGCAAAGCAGTGCGATTTTAAAATCAACAACAACACAGAGTTACATATGGAATAAACAAAAATGTACAGTCAAAAACACAATAGAAAATAGAAAATCTATATACAGTGTGTGCAAATGTAGTAAGTTATGGCGGTAAGGCAATAAATAGGCCATAGTGCAAAATAATTACAATTTAGTATTAACACTGGAGTGATAGATGTGCAGAAGATTATGTGCAAATAGAGATACTGGGGTGCAAATGAGCAAAATAAATAATGTAAATAACAATATGGGGATGAGGTAGTTGGGTGGGCTAATTACAGATGGGCTGTGTACAGGTGCAGTGATCGGTAAGCTGCTCTGACAACTGATGCTTAAAGTTAATGAGGGAGATAAGTGTCTCCAGCTTCAGAGATTTTTGTAGTTCGTTCCAGTCATTTGCAGCAGAGAACTGGAAGGAATGGCGGCCAAAGGAGGTGTTGGCTTTGGGGATGACTAGTGAGATATACCTGCTGGAGCGCATACTACGGATGGGTGTTGCTATGGTGACCAATGAGCTAAGATAAGGCAGGGATTTGCCTAGAAGTGATTTATAGATGACCTGGAGCCAGTGGGTTTGGCGACGAATATGTAGTGAGGGCCAGCCAACGAGAGCGTACAGGTCACAATGGTGGGTAGTATGTGGGGCTTTGGTGACAAAACGAATGGCACTGTGATAGACTACATCCAATTTGCTGAGTTGAGTGTGGGAAGCTATTTTGTAAATGACATTGCTGAAGTCAAGGATCGGTAGGATAGTCAGTTTTACGAGGGCATGTTTAGCAGCATGAGTGAAGGAGGCTTTGTTGCGAAATAGGAAGCCGATTCTAGATTTAACTTTGGATTGGAGATGCTTAATGTGAGTCTGGAAGGAGAGTTTACGGTCTAACCAGACACCTAGGTATTTGTAGTTGTCCACATATTCTAAGTCAGACCCGCCGAGAGTAGTGATTCTAGTCGGGCGGGCGGGTGCAAGCAGCGTTCGATTGAAGAGCATGCATTTAGTTTTACTAGCGTTTAAGAGCAGTTGGAGGCCACGGAAGGAGTGTTGTATGGCATTGAAGCTCGTTTGGAGGTTTGTTAACACAGTGTCCAATGAAGGGCCAGATGTATTCAAAATGTTGTCGTCTGCGTAGAGGTGGATCTGAGAGTCACCAGCAGCAAGAGAGACATCATTGATATACACAGAGAATAGAGTCGGCCCGAGAATTGAACCCTGTGGCACCCCCATAGAGACTGCCAGAGGTCCAGACAACAGGCCCTCCGATTTGACACATTGAACTCTATCTGAAAAGTAGTTGTTGAACCAGGCGAGGCAGTCATTTGAGAAACAAAGGCTATTTAGTCTGCCAATAAGAATGCTGTGATTGACAGAGTCAAAAGCCTTGGCCAGGTCGATGAAGACTGCTGCACAGTACTGTCTTTTATCAATCGCGGTTATTATATAGTTTAGGACCTTGAGCGTGGCTGAGGTGCACCCATGACCAGCTCGGAACCAGATTGCATAGCAGCGAAGGTACGGTGGGATTCGAAGTGGTCGGTGATCTGTTTGTTAACTTTGCTTTCAAATACTTTCGAAAGGCAGATGGATATATTTGATCCCCTGCTGATTTTGTACGTTTGCCCACTGACAAAGAAATTATCAGTCTATAATTTTAAGGGTAGGTTTATTTGAACGGTGAGAAAAATCCAGAACAACGCATGTCAAAAATGTTATACATTGATTTGCATTTTAATGAGGGAAATAAGTATTTGACCCCCTCTCAATCAGAAAGATTTCTGGCTCCCATGTGTCTTTTATACAGGTAACGAGCTGAGATTAGGAGCACATTCTTAAAGGGAGTGCTCCTAATCTCAGTTTGTAACCTGTATAAAAGACACCTGTCCACAGAAGCAATCAATCAATCAGATTCCAAACTCTCCAGCATGGCCAAGACCAAAGAGCTCTCCAAGGATGTCAGAGACAAGATTGTAGACCTACACAAGGCTGGAATGGGCTACAAGACCATCGCCAAGCAGCTTGGTGAGAAGGTGACAACAGTTGGTGCGATTATTCGCAAATGGAAGAAACACAAAATAACTGTCAATCTCCCTCGGCCTGGGGCTCCATGCAAGATCTCACGTAGTGGAGTTGCAATGATCATGAGAACGGTGAGGAATCAGCTCAGAACTACACGGGAGGATCTAGTCAATGATCTCAAGGCAGCTGGGACCATAGTCACCAAGAAAACAATTGGTAACACACTACGCCGTGAAGGACTGAAATCCTGCAGCTCCCGCAAGGTCCCCCTGATCAAGAAAGCACATATACATGCCTGTCTGAAGTTTGCCAATGAACATCTGAATGATTCAGAGGAGAACTGGGTGACAGTGTTGTGGTCAGATGAGACCAAAATCGAGCTCTTTGGCATCAACTCAACTCGCCGTGTTTGGAGGAGGAGGAATGCTGCCTATGACCCCAAGAACACCATCCCCACCGTCAAACATGGAGGTGGAAACATTATGCTTTGGGGGTGTTTTTCTGCTAAGGGGACAGGACAACTTCACCGCATCAAAGGGACGATGGATGGGGCCATGTACCGTCAAATCTTGGGTGAGAACCTCCTTCCCTCAGCCAGGGCATTGAAAATGGGTCATGGATGGGTATTCCAGCATGACAATAACCCAAAACACACGGCAAAGGCAACAAAGCAGTGGCTCAAGAAGAAGCACATTAAGGTCCTGGAGTGGCCTAACCAGTCTCCAGACCTTAATCCCATAGAAAATCTGTGGAGGGAGCTGAAGGTTCGAGTTTCCAAACATCAGGCTCGAAACCTTAATGACCTGGAGAAGATCTGCAAAGAGGAGTGGGATAAAATCCCTCTTGAGATGTGTGCAAACCTGGTGGCCAACAACAAGAAACGTCTGAACTCTGTGATTGCCAACAAGGGTTTTGCCACCAAGTACTAAGTCATGTTTTGCAGAGGGGTCAAATACTTATTTCCCTCATTAAAATGCAAATCAATTTATAACATTTTTGACATGCGTTTTTCTGGATTTTGTTGTTGTTATTCTGTCTCTCACTGTTCAAATAAACCTACCATTAAAATTATAGACTGATCATGTCTTTGTCAGTGGGCAAATGTACAAAATCAGCAGGGGATCAAATACTTTTTCCCCCTCACTGTATGTCTGTAACAGTTTGGATCTAGAGTGTCACCCCCTTTGAAGAGGGGGATGACCGCGGTTAGCTTTCCAATCTCTGGGGATCTCAGACGATATGAGAGGTTGAACAGGCTAGTAATAGGGGTTGCGACAATTTCGGCGGCTAATTTTAGAAAGAAAGGGTCCAGATTGTCTAGCCCAGCTGATTTGTAGGGGTCCAGATTTTGCAGCTCTTTCAGGACATCAGCTATCTAGGAAAAGGGTGGCTATTTGAAGAATCTCAAATATAAAATAAATGTGGTTTGTTTAACACTTTTTTGTTTACTACATGATTCCATATGTGTTATTTCATAGTTTTGATGTCTTCACTATTATTCTACAATGTAAAAAATAGTCAAAATAAAGAAAAACCCTTGAATTAGTAGGTGTGTCCAAACTTTTGACTGGTAGTGTATGTAAATCAGGTATTTAAGTGTTTAGTTTTTAAGAAATTGGCAAACATTTCTAAAAACCTGTTTTCGCTTTGTCATTATGGGGTATTGTGTGTAGATTGAGGATTTTTTTCAATTTAATCCATTTTAGAATAAGGCTGTAACGTACCAAAATGTGGAAAAAGTCAAGGGGTCTGAATACTTTCCGAATGAACTATACCTTTACACCAGCTGTTTGTCTCTCTGTTCAGGGCCTGTCGACTGAAGAAGAAAGCTCAGTATGAGGCCAACAAAGTCAAGCTGTGGGGTCTGGGCACAGAATACGGTATGTTGATAGGTTATGTTGAATAATACACTTTTCCCACAGTCAATTTCTCTCTTGGTTTCCGTTTTGTACATTGGGCAATTGGTAGACTGTCAATTGTCCTTCTGAATAATTTGTGGTTTAGGGAAGGAAGTTATTATGGTTTGTGTTTGTAAATAGCTTTATTGCCAATCTCTTTCTCTCTAAAAAATAACAATTACATTGCCCTTTTTATCTTTTGTTCCAGATCGGCTTCTGTTTGTCATCAACACCATAAAGGAAGAGATAGTGAACAGAGTGCAGGATATCTGCGACGACAAGGGAACTAGCATGACTGAAACTCTGGACAAACTCATCGAAGAGACCCTTGGTAAGATGATTTATTTTTCGTAAGTAGCAACAGAAATATAGAAATATAGTTTTGAGCCCAAACACAGTTTTAAACAATGGCTGTTAGAAGCAGCAAAAATCCAGCACTCTATAAACTTGTCCTTTTTCATTCTGCAGTGAAGTCACCAGTTGCCGGGCAGACGTCTGACTTTGTTAACCAGATCCTAGAGAACACTGGCAAAGGGGATCCCACTGGAGGACTGGTCGGGCTGCGCGTACCCACGTCTAGAGTGTAGACGTCTGCTGATGGCACACTCAAAGCCATTCTTGTCCGACACTGTAACGGCACACCCTCTGCATGCCCATTCCATCCAGGAATCGCATCACCATGCCCTGTGGGAAGACATACATACCACGCTCCAAATGTATGTATGTATGTCTTCATACTGTGAGCATGTGCTGAAATGAAACTTAGTATCTATCTCTGCACTTAGTAGTCTGTTACTCGCCATTTGTGCGCGTGGCTAGTGCACATGGCTAGTGAGGTTAGGGCCGCAGTGTTTGCGAATTCAAAGCCACTATGAAAAATACCTCCCGAAATGTTTATGTTGAAAAATCAAGCAAAACAGAATGATTATCAGTTCTAGCTGTAGCCATTTCCTGTAGCGTTCAAACTACCCGTTTCATGCCTGCGTACCAGGGTGGGAAAGGCAACACAAGATGCCGTTATATTTAGAGTGAGACGACGAGATGGCACGAGATATTTGGTATTGAAACCTAAATATTAACTTGTCAATCCCATGTCCTTGTCACCTTACTGAACTGTGCTTCCCAGATGAAAAACAGCCACTGGGTATTCCATAGTGTATACTGTTGTGGAGGTATAGGGAACACTTCATACCTGTTGTGGTCTGCTTTCCCATTCTAGTACCATGGCATTCACATAGGAGGAGATGTTACCCAATACTCTCAACCTGCCAACCACATTATAAGGCAACAAAAACACACAAGCACCTGAAATACTACTAATATTATGAAAAAAGGAAGTCTACTTTGACAGAATGACGCTAAAAAATAGGATACACAGGAATGCAGTGAGAAAGGTTGTTTTGCGATTTGGCCTGATGGTTCTATAGTCCATTGTCCTGTGTTTTTGCAGTTGAGAAGATATTTCAAATAGACTTGAGCAGAAGGCCACTATATTCCCATCCTTTGCATGGGAAGATTCTTAGTCATCTGACTATAAGCTAGATGATGTGATTATAACCAACCATTCCCTCTATCTATATACCCTTTGGTTGAAGTCTCTTCAAATGATAACACCATTGGCTTCTTGCAAAGTAGGGATGAGAGGGCTAAGAGTTTGAAGTTCCTTAGTTTGGTGTGTTCATATTTGTATTTAATAACAGTACTGTTCATTGTGCCTTGTATTTAAAGTGAGATGATTACACAAGTGGTTGAAGGATAGTGGACCATTTTACACTGAGGGAGAGCAGAACATGGTGCAGGGAAGGTCAAGGGGTTTGTTATGTATTTCTGCTCTTTCAAGATATTCTGAATGTACATAAGAACATGGAACATGTAGATATATGCCACAGAGTCTGTGCATTGTATTATTAGATGGCTCTGACAAAAATGTACTTTGGTTATCGGTACTTGGACTTTGGGGCAGGGGATGGGAATGGGAGGGTTAAAAATAATATTCGTATAGAATTTGAAAAATATTTGCACACTATATTTTGATTGCTTTTTGTACCAAAGACACATGCAACGCAAACGGCGACTAGCCAGATAAAGTAAGGTTTTGCACAGCTTACCTGACACCGTATTGAATGTAGGAAATGTGGTAGGGTCAGGGATTTTCATTGAACTGTGAAATTTGCTTGGGTCCAATTATGTACTGAAAGAAGCATTCATTAATATTTTCTAAACGGCTCCTGTCAGTTGGCTTCTCAAGTGGATTAGTTGCTTTGGAAACATTTGAAAGATTCCAGAAGTTACATGTAATACTCCCACCTCTTTTTATTGTGCTTTTGCACAAAGTAGAAAAGAGGGAGAACAATTGCATAATACCCTTTTATTTTGACTGTTTGTCAAAATGTCACAAATAACCAAAAGGTGTATCACTTCTATAATTTATGTAGGTGAGACGGATATACATACACTACCGTTCAAAAGTTTGGGGTTACTTAGAAATGTCCTTGTTTTCTAAAGAAAAGCAATTTTTTTGTCTATTAAAATAACATCAAATTGATCAGAAATACAGTGTAGACATTGTTAATGTTGTAAATGGCTATTGTAGCTGGAAATGGCTGATTTTTAATGGAATATCTACATAGGTGTACAGAGGCCCATTATCAGCAACCATCAGTCCTGTGTTCCAATGGCACGTTGTGTTTGCTAATCCAAGTTTATCATTTTAAAAGGCTAATTGATCATTAGAAAACCATTTTACAATTATGTTAGCACAGCTGAAAACTGTTGTGCTGATTAAAGAGCAATAAAACTGGCCTTCTTGAGACTAGTTGAGTATCTGGAGCATCAGCAATTACAGGCTCAAAATGGCCAGAAACAAATAACTTTATTTTTCTAACTTTCAAATAACAGTGAAGAGGCGACTCCGGGATGCTGACCTTCTAGGCAGAGTTGCAAAGAAAAAGCCATATCTCAGACTGGCCAATAAAAAGAAAAGATTAAGATGGGCAGTCTGAGATATGGCTTTTTCTTTGCAACTCTGCCTAGAAGGTCAGCATCCCGGAGTCGCCTCTTCACTGTTGACGTTGAGACTGGTGTTTCGCGGGTACTATTTAATGAAGCTGCCAGTTGAGGACCTGTGAGGCGTCTGTTTCTCAAACTAGACACTCTAATGTATTTGTCCTCTTGCTCAGTTGTGCACAGGGGCCTCCCACTCCTCTTTCTATTCTGGTTAGAGGCAGTTTGCGCTGTTCTGTGAAGGGAGTAGTACACAGCGTTGTGTACGAGATCTTCAGTTTCTTGGCAATTTCTCGCATGGAATAGCCTTGATTTCTCAGAACAAGAATAGACTGAAAGTTATTTGTTTCTGGTTATTTTGAGCCTGTAATCAAACCCATAATTGCTGATGCTCCAGATACTCAACTAGCCTCAAAAAGGCCAGTTTTATTTCTTCTTTAATCAGCACAACAGTTTTCAGCTGTGCTAACATAATTGCAAACGGGTTTTCTAATGATCAATTAGCCTTTTAAAATTATAAACTTGGATTAGCAAACCCAACGTGCCATTGGAACACAGGACTGATGGTTGCTAATAATGGGCCTCTGTACGCCTATGTAGATATTCCATAAAACATCAGCTGTTTTCAGCTACAATAGCCATTTACAAAATTAACAATGTCTACAATGTATTTCTGATCAATTTGATGTTATTTTAATGGACAAAAAAATTGATTTTCTTTCGAAAACAAGGACATTTCTAAGTGACCCCAAACTTTTGAACGGTAGTGTACATGTATGTCATTAAGTGTTGTGTATTTATAGTGCTGTCCATTCATGCATACACATATATCTATCTATTGTGAATTGCCACTTTTTCAAATTGATACATTAATAAGCATGACACATTTCTAAGGCCTATCCTCACATTCAGAGAAACTTTGAAAAAAATGGAATGAAAAAAACAAAAACATTTTTGTACTATTTGCCTTTTACCTTTTTCTGTTGGTGCACATGTATGTCATTTGAGAGATGTTCAGAGATATGCATTTCTGGATGGTGACTGCATGAGATAGGGAGGGGTTTCTGGATGGTGACTCTGCCTGAGATAGGGAGGGGTTTCTGGATGGTGACTGCCTGAGAAAGGGAGGGGTTTCTGGATGGTGACTCTGCCTGAGATAGGGAGGGGTTTCTGGATGGTGACTGGGAGGGGTTCCTCTGTTTTTTGTGATCTTTGTGAAGAGGCTCTAGTTTTTTAGGGGTTGTTCTGAAAGTAAGGGATTGAATATCATGGATATCATTCTGGTTTCTTTGTGTCCTCTGCCTCAGTTCTTGACACAAAGCTGCTCTGTTGCACTGAGTCACGGGGAAGATTGATCGAAAATGAATGGATGATAATTCTCAATTGAATACTTGCAATTGTAGTCTTAACCTGTATTACAATCTCAGCCCAGACGAAATGAGACGAGCAGCTTTTAGAGAGAGAATGCTCTTAGCTCAAGCGTCTCTGTCTTTGCTGCTGGAACTTGTCAATTTGAAAGACTAGGATTGTTTATTTCAAGAGAACATGGAGACTTAAGGCTGAATTCAATCAAACCGGCACAGCTGAAACCCTCACTGCGGAAAAGTAACATTGTCCTTATTCTGAGAAAAGGCATGTTTTAATTGAAAATATGTTTTCTTTTATCTAGTGAGCATTTTCTTATTTCAGTACTTAAGATATCTGAACATGCCTTTTGTTCGCTGTAGAGAAACAACGTTATTGTTCCGCAAAGCAGGTTTCCCGCACTGCATGCCATAGACTGATTTACTCCATCTATTTTTGATTAAATTAAAAAGGGATAAAATGCAGTTTCTCTGAAACTAGAATGATATGTTTATGATAAGATATCTTATTCTACTTACTTTGTTAGTGTAGTCAAGATTCTCTATATACCGTCCATGGTTTGTTTTTGTAGTGTTTCATTTTGTAAATGGATTATCTTCTAAATGTTATATTTGTATAGTATATTCTATATTACATGTATGAAAAAGAAAGCACTTTGTTAAAAAAAAAAAGAGAGAGAAAGAAGAAGAAAAGCATTTTTCCTTCCATTTGCTGCTAAACCGACCTTGTTTGAATGCTGCAGTGAGTACTTGACTTCTGTAACCTGACCAGGACAGTGTGTTGGGGAGGTCTTAAGAGGGCGATCAACCTTTTGATTACAACGCCCCTATGTTCTGAATGACTCTAACGTCATGAATTCATTTGCCTTCAGTAGAGATTTCCTATGGAAAAACAAATTCTGCTTTGGGTTTTTCTTCAGGTTGATGTACAGTGTAGACACATTTCTTCTGGGCATTTGCCAGAGAGTTATTGTTATCATTTTTAAAGTAATTTGTACTTGTAACTTGTACTTAATGGGGAGGGGGAGACTGAGGTACTCACAAAGGCCCACGTCCTTTTGTGAGTGCCTCAGAAGGAAAACTATTATCACTGTACTGTATGGCAAGTAATTTGCAGTGGAGATTTAATCCGGGATACTTTTTGCCTTTTCAAACACCCATCCATTCACTTAAGATTGCAACCGATCTCGGCCAATAATGTACTGTCTACAACAAAGACC